TTATATCATTTTTCTAACAACTATTATTCAACTTTATAACAGTGCTAGCTCAAAATCGGGTTATTAATCTTAATTTGGCCACACGAATACGAAAAATTTGTTGCATATTATTTTCCTAGATCAGGCCACTGTATTTCTCCTTATTTACATTTATTTGGTATGATACATCATTTATTTAATTCAAAATAATTAAGATAAACTATTTATTCCTCTCATTTTCGATAATGTCGATCGTTTATCAATTGACGAGCGTAATGACTATTAATTTATTAGAACTGTTAACGGATTGTATGGCTTGGCTTTGCTATAGCTTCAGTTTAGCCATGGATGTTGAAGCCACAGCTTGAGCCATGACTCGAGACATGACTTAAGCAATGGATCCAATGTCTATTGCTGGAAACCTGGTACCCGATATCCATTTAAGCATTTGAATCTGATCTCTATATATAACTACTTCGCATCATAGTTATCTACCGTTCCTGGTTTAGCCTTATTATTCACTGTTAAAGATTATTTATAAACTAACTGTCTGTAAATTGGATCTTTATCATTTTCCAGACAAACAAAAATTGACCGGAACTAACGCTAACCCTAACTTTAACTTGTCGTAAAAATGATAGGATCCGCTGTAATTAATTGTCTATGAATAAAATATCTGTGAAATGATTTTCTATGAAATGATACGTACCCCTGCTAACCCGGTCGGGTAAAATATGGCCTTATTTATCCATTTAAAATTTGCAATAAAAATTTTATTTGATTATCATTGCATTATACTCCTCATTTAATTAATTAATTTCATATTATTTATCGGTTAGAATGAGGATATTTTATATTAATTAATTTCATATTATATTTAATTAAACAATGTTTTTTCATACATGTAAAACATCGATTCGTTATCGTTAAATTATTTGGTAATAATTCGAAATAAATCAAGATTGGTAAAAATGTACAAAACACTCGTGATGGTTGATGGTTTATTATAAGAGTAAAAAACTATAAAATCTTGAGTGAGGAACTTTAAAACTGACAACGCATTTTACCACTATATCTACCTAAATATTCCTACTCAAGAATAAAAATTATTAAACCATTTTAATTGAAGCCTTAATTTTTTAAACCCATCAAAATGAAAATCTCAACTGCCTTCTTATTTGCTGTCATCTTTTTGATCCTTTTTGCTGGTTCGGTTAAGCCAGAAACGCCATTAGGCAATCCTATCAGTTTCGCACCCACCAATATTGAAGAAGTTTCTGATGGAGTGTATAATGTAGAATTTACTTGGGATGTGAGTAAATTTAATAAAAAAAGTATGTATGCACAAATCTTTATTATTGTTAAAGTGTAATGTAAGATTGTATACGTGGATAGTTCTCTTAACCTCATGATAAAGTGGCAAATTAAGATTAATAACCCGATTTTGAGCTAGCACTGTTATAAAGTTGAATAATAGTTGTTAGAAAAATGATATAA